TGCTGCAGTGGACAGATTAACTACAGACAGATCAGAGTATGCTGCAGTGGACAGATTAACTGAGGACGCAGGCAGCGGCATCTGGATCAGCTGTCTGATCTACTTTCTATAGTTCTAGTGAGGATGCAAGCAGCAGTATCTAGATGCTAACTTTGAAACTCTGTTCCTTCTGGCCAAAGTAGAACCATGCCTTGATTTCTTCACTGTATTCATCCAGAGCTGGAATGGGTTCATAGTCACCTGCTGGTGAGCCGCTGGGTGTTGTCTTCATCGCCATGGTAACTGATGAGGAGGGGTCACATGGGGTCTAAGTGGTTCTGATGTAAAGTTACCTGCTGACTCTAAGCAGTCTCTGTCCTTCAGGAGGATCTAAATCAGTCCAGTTATTCTGGTTAAATAGTTTAGGACTTAACTAGTACGAAGGTGGTTAAGGATTACCTAGTTAGTCTCAATGGATGTTGGTCCTTGTTAATGAGTTAATCAGTTAGTGTCTGGTAAAGGTTACAATGTTTGTTTTCAACACTGGTTACTGTTTTCAGGAGCTGCGACCAGGAAACCAGAACCAGAGCAGGAGAAGGAGACGGATCACACTGTGAAGATTGCTGGATCCATCGCTGGCGTCCTGCTCTTCATCATCATCTTCCTGGGAAGCATCCTGCTGATGAACAAAAGGTCAGAACTGAATCCAACAGAAGATTCCTGTTTGTTCAGCTACATCTTTAAGATAATGGGGCAGAAACTAGAGCAAATGAACCAACAGTTAGCATTTAGCTAGCAGGCGTGGCAGCAGGTCCCACTGAGTCGACCAATGAGGTTAAAGATTGATACGTTAAACAAAAACAAATGAGCTGATTGGACAGAAAGATGAAGGAGAACCGGAACCGAAGCGGTGAACAGAATGGTGAACCGGGCCCCTGGCTCCGATAGTCTGCGGGTTTTATCTTCTGACGGCAGGAAACTCTTTAATGAGAAACTTTGAACCAAACGGCTCAGCAGGGGGCGCCGCTGCACTCCGGCTGATGGACATGAAAACAAGAGGGACGCCAGTAAATCCAAGTGAAGGACGTTTCTGAAGGTAGACGGTGGGATTATTGTGGAAGTTGAGCATAGCTGGACGACGGTACATCAAAGACACAACGGCGTCCCCAGTCTGGGGGACAGCGAGGACCATGAGGAAGAATAATGGTGCAGATTGCACTAATCACCATTAAACTGTATCTGGACTGACTTTAGTCTCCAACATCAAACACAGGCGTCCCTCAGGGACGTCCACACACACACACACAGAAAGCTTCAGTGTTTTCAGAACGTTAGAGATGAGAGAGAAATTTAGATGAAAGAAAGTTTTCTTTTTTTTTTCAGTCGCCTCAAGCTGAATGGCTTCAGGCGAGAAACCCATTTTCCTTTGTGTGTGTGTGTGTGTGTGTAATTGTGCGCGCGGTGTGCGTGCGTTTATGCGTGCATCGGCCTGTCAGGTCTATCGAGCTCTGATCTGTGTTCCTGATGTTACAGACACGCAGAAACGAGAGGCGCTTGTTCCGTGTCTAATGAGCTGTTTAAAGTTGACGGGGTGCGTTTGATTTCCGCTCTGTGACCAAACGGAGGTCAGACTCATTACAGCAGCAAGCTGCGCACTGCAGGGCGAGAGGACTCCACCACTCCTGATATGAAAACCATCCCGCCCTCACCGCTAGAATGGCCTCGTTAAGCGACTCCACAGGCTTCAGGTTTTGATTGGAGTTGGTAGAAAACAGCATCTGGCTGGGAGCGCCCCGGTTCATCGCAGAGCCTCCGCGTAGCAGCAGATATGATGAGAGGAAGGCTCCGCAGAAACAAACCGCTGTTTGCTCCTCAAATGAAACAAACCGCTTCATGTTACCCGCCAGCATCGCCTCCAGAAGGACCCACTCACCAGGGAAGAACTGGAACTGGCTCCCAGTATGCCCAGTTTGACCAACAGCTCAGCTGACTTAACTGTTGTACTGCAGGAAGCTGATGGGGCAGGGTGACTCTGGAGAACCTTCACTCAGATGTTCTCCTCGGCTCCTCTGCCCTGCATCCAGCCTCTGGGATGGCAGGGGTGGTATCATGCTATGGGCCATGGTTAGCGCTGTTAGCATGGCAGAGGCAGAGCTCAGCCAGTAGACGTCCTGGAGCTTCATTTTGGGCCCCATGATGCAGCCTTCCAGAGAGCTGGCTGATGAAGAGGAGGCTGCGGCGCTGCCAGTAGAAACGGTGGAGACGTGTTAGAGGAAAAACCCCGGAGCTCTCCGTGGTTCTGGAACGGCTTCAGTGGAGCAGGAAGTGGAGAAGCTTTAGCTTTAGCTGGGAAGATGTTTGAAGCTGAAGAAACGCGCCCTGAGGTCCAGCAGCTACGGTTGTCAAGGAAACGGTGCTCAGATGGATGGGCGCTGTTTGGTTCGTGCTGTGGACGGTGGGCGACTGACTCTCCTCCACGCTGACCTTGCTGCTCCGCCCACCCCAGATGTCCCTCTGTGTTTTCATCTCACACATGAACCAATCAGAACCCCCCTCCCCTGCTCCAGCCAATCAGCAGACACTGATTATGAACTCATCTGTTCTGTTGGTCTCTTCAACATTAATGTTGTTTTTTCCTTTTTCTGTTTTTCTTTCCTTTCCCTCCATCTCATCCCTCCCTCTGCTTCACCATTCAGAAGAAGAAATTATCACTCCTACACTTACTACCTGTAAGTAACCCGTTTGACCTTTGACCCTCAGTGTTTATCCCCCTCCTGAGCACCATGTTTCCATAACCATCCGTGCCTCTCTGACCTCCTGGATCCAGGACCGCCATCCCGCCATCTCTGGTTGGAGGTTCCAGCCTGCTGGTTGTGATGCGTTTTATAGAAATAAAAACATAGATCCAAATAGCTAGCATCCGAAGCTTAAGCAGGAGGTCAAGGTATCTCTGAGTGTCTCTGACCAATGGACCACTCAGTCAGAGAGTCTCTAGTTGATGGACCGCTCAGTCAGAGTGTCTCTGGTTGATGGGCCCTTTGGTTGGAGTGTCCCTGACCGATGGACCTCTCAGTTGGAGTGTCTCTGGTTGATGGACCACTCAGTCAGAGTGTCTCTGGCCGATGGACCTCTCGGTCGGAGTCTCTCCGGCCGATGGACCTCTCGGTCGGAGTGTCTCTGGTTGATGTGCGCTTCGGTTGGAGTGTCTCTGGCCGATGGACTGCTAGGTCGGAGTCTCTCCGGCCGATGGACCTCTCGGTCGGAGTGTCTCTGGTTGATGGACCTCTCGGTCGGAGTGTCTCTGGTTGATGGACCTTTCGGTCCGAGTGTCTCTGACCGATGGACCTCTCGGTCGGAGTGTCTCTGACCGTTGGACCTCTCGGTCGGAGTGTCTCTGGTTGATGGACCTGTCGGTCGGAGTGTTTCTGCCGATGGACCTCTCGGTCGGAGTGTCTCTGGTTGATGGACCTGTTGGTCGGAGTGTCTCTGGTTGATGGACCTCTCGGTCGGAGTGTCTCTGGTTGATGGACCTGTCGGTCGGAGTGTCTCTGGTTGATGGACCTGTCGGTCGGCGTGTCTCTGG